GAAAGCCAGAAGTTCTGTGTGTTACTGAAGTGGTTCTTTGTTCTTTGTGCTTTTCTTTAAGAAGAAACTCTGGGCATGGAAATGCAGGCCTATGATCCCAGCTACTCTGGAGGATGAGGAGGGAAGACTCAATCCAATTTCAAACCTTACCTGGTCTTCAGAGTGAGCTTAAGGCCAATTTGGGAACTTAGTAAGAGCCTGTTTCAGTATAAAAATGTAAAAGCTGAGAAGGTGGTTGATCTGGTGATAATTACAGGGATAGCCAATTGCTTTCTGATTAGATTTAAGGAACATTGCATTGGAGGAAACTCATGCCTGGTACTGTATTACTGGCCAAGAACACATGGCTAGGGTAGTCATAAGCCGTAAGGGAGGGAGGACCTACTACAATTATTTTGCTAAGTGGGCATAATATCAAACTATGGAGTGGCCTTCTAAATACTTCCATCTATCGATTAGTGTAGCACTCAGCTCTCATCCAAGAAGCTTTTTTGTTGTTCAGAGCATGGCAGTTAATACAACTGGTTCAAATATAAAGAATAAGGGATTGCAGAGTGCTCAGTTCTAAATATGACAGCGGTACCACAAACTGTCCCTAAAGCTCAGGGTAAAGATTGTAAGAACCTGAGGTTGGGGAGGTCTGCAGTAAAATGATGTCTTCTGGACATAACCTGGCTGGTACTCTTGGGAATTCACAGCCATTTGTGGCTGCCTGCATAAGACCTGTACAAGATCAAGCCATCATAATTCAGCATGGATGGGGAAGGGAACCATGTAGCCCCACATCTACCTGAAGAGTTATTGGCAATAGGTGGTTTCAAATCAGGGAGAGTCACTTTCCTCCAGGTGTGTGACGCATGTTGTTTGCCCATGGTCTAGTGGGTCATTCTGCACATGCGCGTATGGGCAGTACTTATTGGAGTCAGTGGGCTCTTTTTCTAAAACAGCCTGGAGACCAAGTTCAAGTCAGTGCTAGACTTCTTCCTGTGTATGTGGAAGGGCCAATGCTAAATTTTCCATACCACAGAAGCAGGAAAACAACCAAATTCAGCAGCAAAAGAACAAGAAAAAAAAAAAAAAAAAAAAATCTCCTAAGATTCCTGATGCAGTAACTGGCTGGGCTTGCCTTTCCAGGAAGTAGCCACTTACAGTAGTAAGTGTCTCGTAAAGCTCAACTTCTGCCTATAAGCATGAGGACACTGACAACAAAATCTAAACATGATTCTTAAATTTGGCTAGTTCATCTATTATTGTGGAAGATTTCAGAAGAGAACAGAGTAGGATTGCCTACATTTGTAAAGTACAAAAGCATTTCAAGATGACACAGGATTTTCCTTCACATAGTGTTTGCAAGCCTCTCTATCATATTTTCAGCTGCAAAGCTTTAACCATGCAGCTCACATTTAAAGTAGAATGTTTAGAACTGGGTATAGCGGTGCATGTATATAGTATCTGTTCTTCAGAGGATAGCACTTTCAAGGCCAGATTGGGCTACATCGCAAAATCTTAAAACAAGAAAAAAGATGCTTGGGCAGGCCAGATACCTTTAATGATTTATTTTGACATGTGTTTATCTGTACCATATTAGTGGCAAAATTGTGTGTGTGTGTGTGTGTGTGTGTGTGTGTGTGTGTGTGTGTGTGTGTGTGTGTGTGTATCGGGGTGTTACACTGACTCTTATAAGCCTGACTTCAACATAGAAGTTGTCAAGGGTGGAGATGAGCAAAACTCACATCACAGACATGATGTTTGGCTATTGTTAGTAAGCTAACCCATTGTCAGATCTGTCACATGTGCTAGAAGAGGGTCCTTTCCTTTTTTTTTTGGTCACTCTGAATGGCTTCTTCTGGTTGCAAATGCATGTAGCATTTCTTTATCCATTTTCCCCTCTGTTTGCAATACTTCCTGCATTTCCAACCAGCAGGTTAATAGGATGCAGAGCGCAAAAAGGTCCAGGGAATCTGTTGGTTACAGTCTACTTACTGAGGCTGTGGCTCTGATACTACATGCTGAAGTCAGGGAAAAGTCACCACCCAAACATAATCCAAGGGAAATGCAAGCTGATGTAGCACAAAGATGCTTTGTTTAAGCACGGCAGAAATTTCTAGCAACTATCTGGGCAAAAAATATGCAGGATGGGAGGGAATGTAATCAAATAACAAAACAAACCCAAACTAAAAGAGAATCTTTATAAACCAGCACAAGGCCACTTTGTTTTTAAGTGCACACAATGAATTTTAAAGATCTTTGTTCAGAAGGAAATAAAGTATTATGAAGGACTGACACATTTGATGGATGGACGGTTTCTAAAAAAACCACATTATCAATTACTTTTTTCTTGTTTGGCTCCAGTCCAGTAATTTTTATTTGAACAAGCCACATGCTAGCATGGTTTTGATTGCAGGAAGTGCCTGGCTGCTGTTAAAGGGTACTGTTTCACTGATGGGCTTATCGCTGCCATCCCCCCCTCCCCTTGCTGATGGAACTCTGATATGAAAGGCACAGCTTCAGTTGTTATAAACAGTCTAGGATTGTTTGCTAGACCCGCCCGTGTTTTGCTTGCAGCCTTCTGTGGTACAATCCAGAGGACGAATTCAGCAGCACTCTAGAAAACAAACACTTGAATTCAGCTTGTATCTGTTCTTAATTCAGAAATGAAATTTTGATTCTGCTCATGCTTATGTCTCATAAATCTATGTTGGTAATCAAAAATACTTGCAGATATTATATTCTTTCAAAAGTTCTAGATTACTCTCCCAAGTGAATGTTGATGAGAAAAAAAGGGGGTGGGAGTGCTTAATGGAGCAGTCAACCTAAAATGTCTGAAGTTTATTTTCAAGCAATACAGTCAGTGCCTGGTTCTAGCTTTTCTTGTCTTTTTATGTTACAAAAAAACAAGCATGTTAGAACACTGTTTATTAGTACAATATAAGAAGTAGAGCTTATTAAATAATATTTTTATGTACTGAGTATGTTTTGCTCCTCTTTGGCTAAAGAAAGATTTGAGAATGACCATCAATTGGGCAGGAAAGTTGCCCATGAAATAACCGCTTGACACATTCAGGAGTATGTGTCATATGATCAGTATTATTTGATCATAACTTCATGACTACTGTTTGCACATAACCATGCCAAAAACTTATATTTCTAAATTCCCAGGGTTATCAGAAAAACTCTAAGCTTTCAGCACTTACTTAGGTACGCACCCTAGTTCTTTCTGTATTTTAAACACTAATTTTAGTGATTATTCCTGTGCTGAGAATTAAAACACAAAATGATTTAGAGAATGGGCCATTTGATTATTCATCAGTACATGAAAACAATTTGAATGAATTAGAATTTAATCTGGTTCATTCGAAGAAATATAAATTTAGAACCATTTGTTGATTCACTCTTCATATAGCAATTCTAAAAGATCTCACTGCAGGAATACCCAAAATGCATCCAGCTGGGTGTGGTGGTGAACGCCTGGAATCCTAGTATTTGGGAGACTAAGGCCAGAGGTTATTAAATTCAAGGTTTCCCAGGACTACCTAGCAATGTTCAGGGCAGCCTAGGATACCTAGTAAGACCCTGTCTCCAAGAGCAAAACAAAATAAATTATTAATCACAACTTAATCCTTTAAAGCCAAATTATCCAAACAATTTATGTATGTGTGTGTATGGTATATGTGTGCTTGTGTGCACATGTGTGTATATAAGATTTGAGTGCATGTATGCATGCATATATATGAAGACCTGAGGTCATTGTTGAATGTCCTCCTTTATCACTCTCCATCTTACTTTCTTTGATTGAGGATAACAGGTAAGTCAGCCCTGGGATGCAACTGTCTCCAGCTATCCAGCACTGGAATTACAGGCAAGTTTGCCATGCCCAGCTTCTTTATGTGGAGCCTCATGCTGTACAACAAGCACGTCAACCCACAAGATTTTTATTTTATTTTATTTTTTATTAGTTCAAATTAGGAACAAGCTTGCTTCACATGTCACTCCCTTCTCCCTCTCCCTCCCCTCCCCCCAA